TGAAAAAGTATGCACGACTATGCCCCTTTAATATTGATAGAGGATTTGAAGGTGTAGAATGCACCATCAATATATTTGTGGACCTCATAGGTAGAATTACTAATTCGGTACAAATCAAATATTCAGCCCATCCTGTTATACTCCTCTACTTGTTTCTTTAATCTTCTCACTGTTAAAAACAAAACCAAACTCACAAAGGTCACACACACAGCTGCTAAAATCATTGGACTCCCCACACCCAACCTCACATTGGACGCTTTTCACTCTCCATAGAACGGGACCCCACTCACCCAATACAGGACTACCTCATACCCCTGCCGTCTGGACGGAGGTACAGGGCACTCAGGTGTAGAAGGGCCCGTTTTGGCAGGAGCCTGATCCCTTCAGCCATCACCTTTTTAAACAACAGGCCCCATTGAGTGTATCATGTCTCGTATCGCGTCTTGTACTTGTGCTGGTGTTGGTGTTTACTGTGGTGTCTTTTTTTATGTCTTCGTGTAAATGAGCTCTGTGGAAAAGAATCTCCCCTTGGGGACAAATAAAAGCCTAAAATCTAAAGTCTAACCCAACCTTTGCTCTGTGTGCCCTGAGGGAAAAGTATCCCCATATTTCCCCAGACTCTGTCCCAAAGACCAAGCACACACTGATGATTGAAAAGCTGATATTTCTTCAAAACAAGAAGTTATATATACTTGAAATACCAAAGCTCTCTTGACCTTTCACTTCTAATAAGTCTGAACTTGTTGAAGTATGAATGTCTTTGGCAGAGTCGCCCCATCTCACGCCAAGTTTTACATGGGTTATTTCCTCCCTAGCAATCATTGTTAAGCTAGACAGCTCCTCATGGGGTTAATAATATGTGTTGTGGCTGCATGTCCTGGTCATAAGGCAGCAGGTCTGTGGAATCAGGCCAAAGCTCTGTAGTCAGAGTGGACATCACAGGTCAAATGCATTCACACAGAATTAGAGCCAATCTCTCTGGAGACTAATTGGAGCATATCAGGATCTAATGTGCCGAGATGTATTTTTTTCTCTGGCAGCTGAAACATTTAAGAGACCTGCATCAGCCTTTGTCTTAGTTTTAAGATTACACTGATTTTTTCATGCTAGTTCAGCACTTATCCATTTGCTACGTATTTATAGACTACAATTTTGCAGACTCTGTTTCTGGCAGATAAGCTTGTGTGCATAATTAGGTCAGTAGAACTCGTTGCAGACAAACTCGTGAATTATGGATTAGCAGTAGTCTGCCAGTAGTCCATCACCAAACCCTCATTTGTCACTGTTAAAAGAGTGAAAACTGTAGATGTAATGGTTTTGCTGCCTTCTAAAGACTGAAGATAATTGTACTAAACACAAACAATAAGCATGTCTAGTAATCTTTAGGATGTTTAAAAAACTTCATTCAGAGCCGGCAATAGTAGAGAAGACCATGGCACTTCTGGAGGAGCTGCAGGCTTGGAAAAAAAACAAACATATATATATGTGTAACATATATATAAATGTTTCACTCAAAGTTCAACACTTAAGAAAAGAGAATTATCCCCACCTATATATTGTAGCTAGTATGAAACCCTGTAATAGCTTTTGCATCCGTTTGTAGTTTAGAGGTTCCATTGCTCAGTCATATTCAGGTCAAATTAAATCACTTTGGGATCTCTGGATAGTGGTAGTAAATTGTTCACAACAAATGTCAGCATCAAAGGGCTCAATGCTACAGTCGAACCTGTCAATCTGAACATGAAAGAAATCGTGTCAGGGCGCAGAAGATTTCAAAGTTGCAAGCCCATTCAGGCTTTAAAAAGGGTTGGATCCAGTCATTTCTGTTTGTTTTGCTTTTTAAGTGCTTTTGCAACAGGTTCTTGCACTCCAACTCTGTCTTTTCAACACATGAAGAGAAAGAAGCCTTTGGGCATGCTCTGTGGCTTGGCCTGTCTGCTGACTGTGCATTGTATCACAAATCAAGGCACACTTCTCCAAAATCCAGCTCAGACTGGAAAAATGTGGTGCTAATATGAAAACAATAGGAATACCAACAGCGGTGTGATTCGATTTGACTGAAATGTTGCCAAAGGTCTAGAAATCTCTGGAATATCATTTTATACAGGACAGAGTATGTGAAATCTGATCATCAGAAAGAATTACTTTAATGAGGAGATGTGAACCCAACACATTTATAACGTACATGGAGTTAAGATCTGTGCGTCACTTCTGTTGATGTCTTTCTTATCTGTTTTTCTACGATTACAGAGGTTTCCTTTTTCTTTATCAGATTCGAGTCCAAAGGGTAAGGTAGTGTGGACAGGTGCCAAGTCCTGCTGCAAAATGAAAACACCCTATACATAAAACTTGTTAGCAGAAGGAAGGATGAAAACACTAAAATCTCTGGAGAAATGGCCCCCATGATTTTGGAGTTCAGAAAACACAGTGGAACAAACCTTGCACACTGGATTTTAAGCAGGATTCTTCACCTCTCTAATCAAATGAAACCAAAGATAGAAGCTTTTAGGCTAAATTTGACATATGTGTGGAAGAAAACTGCCACTGCACATTCTCATGAAGGCAACATACCAACCATGAAAACTGGCGGTTGTAGCCAGGAACATGGGGCCTCATGAAAGACATTGATATACTGTATGTATATGAAATGGTAAAAAGAGGTTAATTCCAACAGAGTGTACTGATGCAAACTGGCCTGTCCCTGAACACAATGTTGCCTACCTGTCATTGGGACAGGGAGGGGGTGAAGAAAAATGGTTGCTGGTGGATCATCGGTTTACATGCTGAAGGAGGTATAACAACAATTATTTAATGTAAATATCCTGCTAAACATCTACTAGCGTTTAGCTGATGCTAACCCTCTGATGGTGTTTTCCTTGCCTGGTCTGGTTGGTAAAGGTAAATTCTTAGCTGCAAGCTTTCTGGCTTAGCTCTTTGGCCCCTGTGTTAATTACAGTCACATTATAAGCTCAATAAATGCTGGATTAATCCTGGTTCATTTATTTTTTTAAACTAAAAACGAAGCACAAGAAAAAAAGAAAAAACTTGCAAACATGTTCCGTTTCAGACGCACCCGGCAGGGCGGCATCATTAATGATGCGATTTTATGTATACACATGCATATTTTTATCCTGTGCGAGCAGTGCTTTTATTTTATTTACTTTTATTTATTTTATCTTTTTTGTGCAGCACTTTGGAAACCTTGTGTTTATTGAAATCGTGCTATATAAATAAAGTGGAGGAAGAATAACTAAGTTGTTGTATCCTGCAGTTAGTTATCTTATTTTACTCAACAGGTTAATGATCTATCGTTCATTTGAACTTTTCAGGTAATTGTATCGGGTTCCCTCTCTCCTCTTACTCCTTCCTTTTCGTTTCCTTTTTGAAACCCAGACGTTAGGGCACTGCAGTTTTCATCCGTGGACATTTTTAACCCACTACAGCTTATTTACACATTTTCTTGTGTATTTGTTTCTCTCGTTATCACTACGTTAAATGACGTGTTCGTGACATTTGAGCCCCGGTGCGAATGAACTGCTGGTGACAGACAGGGAGATCTGATGTGATGCAGGACCTGAGGACCAAACCATTTATTTCAATATCATGACGTGGGGGGGTCAATATATTCATGCTTTGTTTCACTGTTTGCTGCTAAAAAATGAGGGAGAGCGTGAAGATTAGTTACTTTACTGCTGGATTTTCTTTTTATATTTGAAAAATATAGTGGGACGTATCTTTTGTTCTTCTTTTGTGCCGCCCGTTAAATCATCCTAGACCACTGACTCTCAAAGTTGGAGTCGTGACCCCCGTTATGCGTTTTGATCCACCATTATGGGTCCTTAAAATCCACTTCATAAATGAAACTAAACGTTATTATTAAAGATATGAAAGGATCTATTAAAATAATTTTTTTAATTTATTTTACATACTCTAATAATCCCAGAAGGAAATTACTTCTCTGTATTTAACCCATTCCCTTGGGGAGCAGTGGGCTGCCATTGTGCGGCGCCCGGGGACCAGTGTGGGGTTAAGGGTCTTGCTCAGGGACCCAAGAGTAGCAGTCTGTGGGAGTGGGGGATTGAACTCACGCCCTAACCACTAGGCCGCCACTCCCCACTCAATAGTGTGTGTTGTAATATGTTTAGACTCGTGATTCATCCATCGGTTTTCCATCACGCTAATCCCAAGTAGGGTCACAAGGGCTGCTGGTGCCTATCTCCAGCCGGCTACAGGCGAGAGGCGGGGTCACCCTGGACAGGTCAGCAGTCCATCGCAGGGCAACACAGAGACAAACAGGACAAACTACCATTCACACACACACTCACATCGAAGGAGAATATAGAGAAGCCAGTTAACTTAACAGTCATGTTATTGGACTACGGGAGGAAGCTGGAGTATCCAGGGAGAACCCATGCATGCTAAAAGAGAACATGCAAACTCCATGCAGAAAGACCCCAGACCGGGAATTGAACCTGGAACCTTCTTTCTGCAATGCACCACTGCGCAACTGATTTTTGGGGGTCATGAATGGATTTTGGTAACATTTTGTGGGTCAGAAGCTGAAAGGTTTGGGAACCTCTGGTTAAGATCCTTAAAATCCTTGAAGGTTGATGATGAAAGTCAACATCCCTAAAGAAGACTTGGCTCTGCAAAGTACTTAGAAGGAAGCCATTTCTACAACACAGTTAACTGAAAAACCTTACATGGCTCAATATTAAGTCCTAAATAAACACATTATTTTGGGTTGTAGGAAGTCATGGAGTAAGTTTATTGACCGGGCAGAACATTGGCGAGAATAAATCACTAAAATAAAGAATTTTCTCCCTAAAAGGCAGGTTCCTTGTCAGATTCCTGCAGACAGCAGTCAATATTGCCCGCAGCGGATCGTCACTCCGAGATGAAACACCTTTGACCTCCATGCTGCCAGCAGCAAGCGGCTCAGGCAGCGATGCTTTGTCACATGACTCCCAGTGAGAAGCCCAGTCTGCCTGTCTGATCATTTGCTCTGTATTTCCGCCTTGCATGCACCGCAGCAGCAGCAGCGGCTCTGTGTCTGCCTGCCACAGAGAAACCGCGTCCCCGTGCGGGATTCATCACGCACCAGCATCGCCCTGCAGCCAGCCATGCTCACGCGGGTGAAGACAGCCGTGGCCAGCCTAATGGGAGGCGTGATGGCCGCAGGATCAAGCGGAGACCATCCCAGCGGCCCGGATCTGCCGCTCAGATTCCCGTACAGCAGACCGGAGTTCCTGGGACTGTCTGCGGATGAGGTGGAGTGTTCGGCGGATCATGTCGCCCGGCCGATCCTGATCCTGAAGGAGAGCAAGCGGCTGCCCTGGTCCACCGGCTATGCTGAGTGAGTAACCTGCGGGACTCCATCTTTCCCCGCATCCTGCGGTGGTGAGCCACGCAGGGGAAACACAAACACCTTCTATCATCTGCTGCTCCATTTATACATGCCACATAATTCAATAGGATATAAAATGTAACGATGTTAATGAGCCTAACATAAAGACTAGATCTCTGCATTTTCAGGTTATTTTTAACCATTTTTGTTTTTCAGTACTTTGACCTAATAACCTACTTATTTCATGTAATCCCGGGTTTCCGATCATAAAATATCAATCAAAATAGTAGTTCTCTGGTTCTCCGGCACAAAAAACACCACATGCATCCAGAGACAGAGGATAAGTTGCTCTGTTGCATTAAAGTGAACTAACTCACCTGTTTGAGCTTCACTGGTAGAGACACAACTGTTTCCCATGAGCAGGAAAATGTGACATCAGCATCATCCATCATTCACTTATTGAGAAAAGTCTGGAATTTCATCATCCATCCATCCATCCATCCATCCATCCATCCATCCATCCATCCATCCATCCATC